CCATGCGTGCATTTTACTCCGGCATAAGAGCTTGGCGACTGCGCGCGCATGTCCTCTACCCGAGGCCAAATGTCCTACTTTGATGCCCCGATTACTTCGTTAAGGACAAATATGGACTTATTGGACGTTCCCGATACCATCAGTTCGTTTTAACACACCGCACCCAGCCGTTCAATCCGTAAATTCGATCGATCCTGGCCCGCAGTTTACCATAGGGTTTGGCGTCCCACCCTCCGCCGTCCTATCTCACGAAGCTTCACCACTCCGCCGCTAGGTGGCCAGCCGTGGTCGCTTTAATCAAAGGCGCCGACGGAGAGTTGCCAATCCAGGAAATCTCTAATCCATGGTTAAACCTTGCCAAAATTTATAATTCAGTCAGTGAAATGCGGGTAATATTTTTTCAGTTATCGAAATCAAAATCGCAAGCGCTGTCGTCAAGGGCGTGCCGTGAAACAGGGCGCCCCTCACTTGGACGCAGCGTCGTGGGCGTCGTGGGGCGGGAGGGGGCTGAAAGGGTCACCTTCCGTTTAGTCCTCCTCAGATTTGACCAGAGTCTTAAGTTGGCGACGAACGAAAACGGATTGATGCGCTGTAAGCTGATCGAAATGCCCTCAGTTGGCACTTAGCATGTGCCACTTGAGTGGGTTCTTTGACAAAGACAGACCTGCACGGTGCACCTAAATTTGTTGTATTTGGGGTATAAACTCAGTTCTGTTTGACATGCGCACCACCGGCAGCCGGAGGTGGCCGAGACGCCCGAGAGCCTTGAGTGGCCGCCGGCCGGCTCCAGTCGGCGCCGCGCGCCAAGGCCCTATCCGCGCGCCTGTCGCTGCAGGAGCGGCCGCTGCTCCTATCGGGGCCGCCGCCGCGGCGGTCGGTAAACATCCGTTTAGCTCTCGTGTATCCAGTATCAGCAGTGGCGCCGGCGGCCCGGGCCAGTCCGATTGTTACAGAGACATGGTGTGAACGTGTGGGTCGGCGGTCGTATACTCGAGATTGCTGCTATTGGCAGATGTCTGGTGGTCAAGTTCGCCCTTCGCCTTCGGATCGATGTCATCGCGAAGAGTTGTGCCATTACCACTCCTGATGTACCTAACATCTCGGCATCCTGCTGAACAAGCTGCTGTCGGCGCTGACGGAGGCCAGGACTGCCGCCGCCGCCGCCTCCCGGTGTCGTCACTTCCAGCCCCGAGCGGCTGGCGGGTCACCTGCAACAGGTCGGAGAGCTCGGTTGAGGGGCTGGATGACGGCATTATCGGTAAGGGGGGCACGTCGGACTACGACATTATGTTGGAGTTTGACGGCCCCTTCCGCTGGACGACGCCGGGGGAGAAGCTGGCTGTCATCGAGCCGCGCTCTGCGCCGCAGCTGTGGGCCCGGCCGACCGGCAACGCCGGCTTCGTGACGCTGCACTGGGTGCGAACAAAGCAATGCAGCCACGAGGAGCCGCTGGAGGCGCTGCCGGCCGACTACGTCAGACATGTCACCCACGATTTCTGCCAGTTCAGCTGCGGAAATCTGGTGATACCACCCCCTCCACGGCCCGACGATCAGCATCAGCTGAGGTCAGGAGACAAATGCGAAGGCACTCACCCCGTTCTCTGGCTGTTTGTGCACGGGTTGTTTGCACAAACTGTCAGTTTATGCACGGGTGCACGGGCGCACCTGGCGTGCGCCAGTCGGCGCCGACCAGCTGGGACGTCGCATCGAGACGTCGACTCGAGACGTCGCGTCGCAAGGACGTGTTTTACCACCCACCCGGAGCCGGAGGAGGTCTGGGAGACCGCCGTGGTGGCGCCGCCAGGGGCGCCCAGGGCCGACAGGCTACGCTTCATTGAAGCGGAGGGAACAACAACAAGACGTCGCATCTCGCTGTCACGATCAGACCTTCTCGCCGCCCCGCCTTCCGTCAGCTATCGGCAACCTGAAGTCCTGCTTTATCAAGATGGCGGCGCTTTGGCTGCAGCTCAGAGGGCAGTTTCACCGACAGAAAAATAGCCGCCTACCGGAATTTTTGTCTAAAGACCGCTTCACATACTGGTTAGCGTAACTGGTTAAGCCCTATCTGGGAGCTGGGAGCGTAACTGGTTAAGCCCTATCTGCTTACGTGCCCATCGCGTTTACGCTCCGTATATAAAGCGGTCTTTAGTCAAGAAATTCCGGCAGGCGGCAATTTTTCTGTTGGTAAAACTGGCTTCAGGACTCACCGCCACTCGCTAGTACGTTATGGACGGGCGTCACGGATGGCGTCCAAGGGCTCCAGGGCCCAATCTTACCAAATGCCGTAAATGCGCATTCACGGCATTTGGTAACATTCAGAACTATTCCACATTCACTTATTCATTCGTTCAGGCAACATTCATAAATATTCACGCTTTCAAAATCATTGGACAAGATTAGCTGGATGTAAATCTTTGATATAAGTGCCGTTAACTGCGGCCAGTGCTGACAAATCCTATTTACGGCATTGGTAAGATTGGGCCCTGGACTGGCTGGAGCAGCGCCTCGCTGACGGAGTGCTGTCCTGCTACTTCTACCCGGCCGTCAACGTGGCGGCGGAGCTGACCTGACGGGCCATCATCGGCTCCCTCAGACTGGTGAGGGAGCACTTGACACCCCTCCTGATGGCCTGCTGTGAGAAGCGGCAGTGGTCCCTGAACACACTGCTGGAGGGGCGGCCGACGGAGCCGCTCTCAGAGCGCCAGCTGTGGCTCCGTCTGAGACGTATGCTTCTCCGGCAGGCCATGTGTTGAACGGTATCAGGTTCCGCCCCACGGCTCCCTGCTGGGAGAGCTGGTGGAGTTGCGCCATCCCCAGCCTGGCCCGCGCGGCCCCCTACCTGCACAAGATGTCGGGGACAATTTACCTGTACATGGCCTGGACCGTGGTGGACCTGGCGGACGGCGAGCCGATGACGTCACCGGTCGGTGACGCCGTTACGCTCGACGTGACGCCGCTCACCCGGCTCCTCACCGAGTACAGGTAACAGCTGCGGCGGCCGCCGGCGGAGCGGCCGGCCGGCCTGAGCGTTTTCTTCGTAGTTGTGTTAATGTGTTAATTGTAATGCTTATAATATACCTTTTGTGTGTTTTGAAGTGTGTTTCTTTTTTTAAATACATTCAGCATGCTTGAGTTTTTGATCGTACGGACATACATATAACGCGAAGTATGGGTTGTCGGTTGACTCAATGACAGCTGCCACTAAATATTTACTGTTAGCTTGGCCTATTTAAACGCCGTGGACGGAAAGATGTGTGGTATCAGCTGTTACCTGCTGTTAATGAATTACCCACGAACAAAAATGTATGCGGGTAGTGGTTACGTACATAATACATTAGTTCTCACCCAGTCAGCATTTTACGTCCTAGTTTCTACCTCAATCAAGTAACGTTCTAAGCCTGGAACTGCATTTCGGTAGGTAGGTAATTTTTTGCTCAAATACAACGAATAAAATGCGTACCAATCTCGCGACTCGCCCTGTGATAAGATTATCGAGACTTCAACTACCACTCATTGTTGTCTTTTCCTTTTTAAGCTCGGGTTCGGTCTCGCTAAAAATCCAGGAAGAATATAGGCCCTTGAAATTTATTTATTTATATAGTGGCCTCGTTCAGTGGGTATGGTGCCCGACATGAAGAATACGACAACATTGCTTGAATTACATGAAGAACGCTACGATTAGGCAGTTGCGAGGCATCCCGGCGACTACTAAGGCTGCTCACCTGCTACTGACCGCCCTGCAGTTGACTTGTTACACTCTGTTATTACTTATTGTTATCAATTGTCGCACAATGCGATGCTAAATAAATTATGATGATGATGATGATGATGATTACGACGAAATACGACCCAACAATAACCGCAGGTTTTTTTGAAATAGACAAACACTATTCGTTGGAATTGTGTTGTTCTATTTATAGCGACACCACATCGGGACCGGCCGGGCTCCACCGATAGCCGGGCTCCACCGATAGCGCTGCTCCGAACCACCGTGTCTAACACAGGAAGGGTGACGGCCACCGCATCCGCAGCTGGCCAGGAAGGACGTCAGATAGGCGGGCTGGCATCGCCGAGTCCCAGAGCCGCAGGCAGGATGGTGTGGTGAAACCGATGCCGACTTGGGAAGGGGACGTGAGGGAACAGCCAGAGGAAAGCACTGAGACATACATGAAAAGGACGGAACGAAACTGCGCATAACAAAGTTGGCTCCATTCGCTCGGCCTATGTCAGATAAGTGATAACTAGGGGTCGGTGGGTCTGGGTCAGGCCACTGAAGAGGTCGGTGGGCTTGGATCAGGTCAGGTCACTTGGAGGTCAGTCAGTGGGTCCTGGGTCAGGTCAGGTCACTTGGGAGGTCGGTGGGTTTGGGTCAGGTCGGGTCACTTGGGAGGTCGGTGGGTTTGGGTCAGCCGTCAGGTCAGGTCACTCGGGAGTTTGGTTGGTCCGGACTAGAACATATTAAAGAAATATCTCTTGATAACCCGAAGCGGAACGGTGCCTAGCGTGACAAAACTAATAGCTGGCTAATAGCTGAACAACAAATAGAATCTCTGTTGCCGTGCAATTAAGTCGTAATCAGCACGCTGTACGTGGAAGGCTTGTGATGTTAATGCATGCATACATACATAAGTACATACATAGGTACATATGCATATATACACATACATGATACATGCATGCATACATGCTCACTCTGAATCATTTTAAACGTATGAATGAGCTATTTCTGTTTAGTAGCTGTATTCCCGCAATGTTTTGGTAATTTGATTCCATAACCTGCGCAGCCGCGACATTCATGAGCACACTGTCTATTCATTTTTGTAAGCACCAAAGCAGTCGGAAAATTACCGCAGGCCATTGGCTATTATGTGCTATTGATAACCTGTGCTTGCAGTTCATTGGTTTAAAGCTACGCAGTGACCGCTTCTAACTGCTTTTGCTGTCGAATGAACATTTAAAGAACCAAACGTTTTCTTGTGGATATTCTCCCACGTGTTTCGATTGTCTGTGGAAATTTACATGTGATAAGTCGATTCCCACGATTCCCAGTGGAAAATGTGCTCGATTTCTGAACCGGTTGTCGTCCGGAAGCAGTGAGAGCATGCTGTGTGTGTAGTTTTTATTCGCCATATTTGCATTCTGCCAACTAATGCTGAGGATTTCTGTCCTGAGCTCAGCTGCTCAGGTAAGGTAGGGAGCTTAGGTGAGCTTAAGGTAGGGATGTAGGATGAATAAGTTGAAGTAGACGAATAAGTCGTAAGTGTTTAAAATGTTGTTCACAATTACAAGCCTTTATTTATCGAGGGCTTAGATTTTTGAACCTTATTCAGGAGATCTGAAGTATGTACAGCTCTCGTCTCACTGTGTGTTTACATAGGAAGGTACTTAGTTAGATACCTATTCTCTTTTCATCAAAACTGAGAATTACTTGAGGGTTTTGGTATCAGTCAATTGAAACTGTTAGTAGGTAAATAGATTTGTAATGCCCCACCCTTTTGATAAGGTTCATAATTAAACAAGTAATTTGCCTAGTGTGGCAGGCGTCAACAATGAGCAAAAAGCAAAAGTTCGTTTGGGAGGTGAAAAGCTTTCATGCATTGCCACCAAACTGGGTGGTCAATGTATATGATGATAAGCCTAACATAAGGACTGCTGGTGCCTGGCTGCTGGTGCATCTCTGTGTTGTGATATCTGAGTGAGTGACAACATACATCTCGTTCGGAGTTGAGGAGGACGTAGAATCTTTGTCGTACGAGACTCCAATTCCGAATATGGGGGATGGTCTTTGAGCAATGAGCTATCTTTGTCTTTGTCTGAAAAAGGAATACCTACCTACCACACAGTGAGACAAATGAAATTAAATGACAAAAATGAAATTAGAAACACATCTGAAGTGTTATGACAGGTCATGGTGACCTAATTATTATCATTATGATCTTACCCACTGTCTTTCTATTTCAGAACCATTTGAGAATAAGCCAAGCTCTGAGCCAGTCTAAGCAGCCCTATATTCCTGACTATCTGAATGCCCCCCGATGGCTACATATCTTCATCTATAGCCTCGTTCAGGTCTCCATCTACAGCCTCTATCTAATCCCTCCACAATGGACGGGCAGAGCTTCTTTGACCTGTTGGAGGGCGCGGACGCGTGTCTCAATGAATCGGCTGCACCACCGCCACCTCCTCCCGCCGTGGGGTGTCAAGGCTGTCTGCGAAGTCAACAGGTGAGGATCTAGTGAGGTGATGTAGTGCATGGGCTAGCTCAACCCCGCGTTCGATGTCTCTCCGACGACGAAGATTCTACGTCGTCCGGCCAATCCCGTTCAAGGTCAGTGGGGGCTCGGCTGCGGTTATGGAACGTGATTGTCCGGACGACGTAGAATCTTCGTCGTCCGAGAGACATCGAATGCGGGGCAAGAGTTGCTAGTGTAAGATATTTGGGGCTGGTTGGTATCAAAAGATCAAGGCAGAATAAGCCAACAGGTATGACAAGTTTGAACTTGTATTTCCAACATATTTTTATCATTTATTGGAAAATTGGGTAAAAGTGGCACCAAGCTCCCCTGGGCCAGTCACAAAGGATTAAAACTTAAAAGTTTGGTAGTGTGGCAGTATGGGGGATAATGGCAATTGTCGAATTTGTCACCAGTCATTTGCGGCTCTGTCAGTTTATGTGTCTGTGCTCTTCTTATTTTCCGCTGGTGGTACGAGTATCTAAAATTTTTATGCAATCTGAAGGAGCCATTTTCCTGTTTTGTTTTTTAAACAAGCTGTTTGAACTGAAGTAATTTGCACGTCTACCGTCTGGCTCGACTCTAACGCCCTCACGTACTGCTGTTTTCCTCAGGAGTTGTTCGAGCTCCGCTCTCAACTGCGGGCCATGGAGCTGATCAAAGAGAAAATCATCAAAACTGAGTAAGTTCCATTTCTTGTTCCATTTTGCTCCTTTTTGTCACATGTTCTGCTCTTTCCTATTCTTATTTTCACTCGTTTGTTTACTGCTTCGTTCCATTTCAGGGATTTTTCATTTGGTCGGCGTTCGGTTTTGTGTTTTCGTTTCTTTTCTTTAACGTTGCTCTGTGATTGACGTGGATTTCGTGGTTATTATCAATGCTTTTTTTTGTAGAAGATTAGCACCTATTTGATTTACCGGTTTATTTATTTACCGACTCATTTATTTTCAAATTGCATTGTGCTCACTTTATTTAACTCAGTTATCGTCAAGTTAATTATATTAATATTTGTTAGCGACGAAACGACGGTGCAAGCGTTCTTGCCACCCGATATCTGCCACAAGATACGCCAATCTCTTATCTCCCCCGTCCTGGCCGTTCTTCCCATCCCTTTGTTGGGAAGATAGCGGTGGCTTAGAGCCGTGTGGGCGAGTGCTTTGTGTTTTATAGTGTATTTGCAAGGTTGTACAGTGTTGCGAATGTAGTGTGCTGTAAGGTTGGTGCAATGTCTTGATAGTGTGTTGTGTGTAGTAAGGCTCAGTTAAACTGTGAAATTTGATGAAGTGATTAAGCAGTTTGTGAAAACTTTTGCCGCTACAGTCAACTCCCCGCTCGTCATGTTTCCTGTCTGTAGTTTCAATACCATCTGCATATTTACTTTATGATTACATATATCGTATTTAATTTAGTAACTGGTCCTGTGCAACCCCTATTTTCTATTTCCCCTTAGTCATCTGATTGCCGTTCTCTTTACCTCTCTAGTCAGCTGATCGGCCGCTACAGTCAGCTGTCCGCCCGTCATGTTTCCAGTCTGTAGTTTCATTTTCATATGTATCTTTGCCTCACATCGTATTTAAGTCAGTAACGCCTAACATGTCCTGTGTAACCCGTATTTTCTGTTTCCCCCTTAGTCAGCTGATTACCCCTCTGTTTTCCTCTCTAGTCAGCTGATCGGCCGCTACAGTCAGCTGTCCGCCCGTCACCGCGAGCAAACCAGACGTCTAGAGGAATCGTCTCAGTTGGTAGCGCAGCTGCATAGAGACTGTAACAAACACGAGGCCGAGCTGGGGACGCAGCTACGTGAACTGAACGAACTCAGACAGGTGAGAGCTGGGGGCACAACTGCGTGAACTGAACGAACTCAGACAGGTGAGAGCTGGGGGCACAGTTATATGAACTGACGGAACTCAGGTGAGGGCTGGGGCACAGCTGCATGAACTCAACGAACTCAGGTGAGGGCTGGGGGCACAGGTACGTGAACTGACCGAACTCAGACAGATAAGAGCCTGAGGGCACAGCTAGGTAAACTGAACGAGCATAGACAGGTAAGCGAGAGCTGGGGGCACAACTACATGAACTGAACGAACTCAGGTGAGCGCTGGGGGCACAGCTACACGAACTGAACGAACTTAATATAGATCATGACGGATTGCGTACAAAAGTATGGATCGCAAATGCTCGTAAGGCAAAGTTACGTCAACAAATGTACGTAGGACAAAAGTACGTATCGCTAATGTACTTAAGGTATTAAGTAAGTATGGACAGAAGCATAGGTTAGGTATGGTTGGGTTTGGTTAGGTTTGGTAAGATAGGGTTAGACCAATTCAGCGTTGGCTTGTCCTGGGTATTCATGCGTACTTTTGTCCTGGGTACTTTATCGCCCACGTACTTTGCGTAAGAACATTTGCGTACGTTCTTTTACCCCACGCACTTTTGCGATAAGTACTTTTGCCCGCGAATCGGTAAGGACTATAGGAGAGAAGGATATGGGCTAGGTAAATTGGATCTGATTGATGAGGTTTACGGAGTGAATAAAATCACTGCTTTGAATACTGGATAACTGGATATTTGCTAGTAACTGGATATTTCCAGTGGGAGATTGGATAGATGGCGTTGAAGGTTGATGAGGGGAGCAATGGGGGCAATGATTGTAGGATTGATTGTAGGGTTGGATATAGAAAAGATGGAATGGTTATGCTTGATTGAACTGAATTGGATGAAGATGATTGAACAGAAGGAATATGGAATAGAAGGGACTGGTGAGTGCAAATGACTCAAAGACTTACTCGGATTCACTAGGGTTTCATGATTCATCATGCTTTCCGATATTTCTTTACCTTATAATCAGTACTGTGCTGCGTCCTATTCGCCATCTTACGAACCTCAGCTTCTTTTCCTCCCCGCGTGGCGGCGTTGCTGTCGCCGTGTCCGTCTGAGAAGTATTTCCATCCTTCAACAGGAGGTTGCCGTGAAGACCCAGCAGCTGGACGCGCTGATGTCGGAGATGACGGAATGCAGGGCACAGCAGCAAGGCGCCGAGGCCGCCATGGTAAGAATCTTGAGTGTCACAAACTATGGAGTGGTCCCTTACTGAGGATGCGACGGGAAAGTTAATTAGACCTTCCAGTTCTGTCGGACTTTCCTAAGGGACAACTCCATAGTTTGGATCGTGAGAAAGTTAGGAAGAGCGGGGATGAGTTGGAATAGGGGATGGGGGGACTCAGTACCACGGTACCACCATAGTGCTATGCTATATAGGACCTGAGAAGAAGAGAGCGCATGGGATGAATTGGTTATAAGGGGAGATGAGAGAATTAACGAGAGCTAATGAGTGAGTTGCACCAGTTTCTCGGCTTTTTTTAGCTCTGTAATTACTAGGTCGTTCAATAAGTAAGGTAAAATCGCATTTATTTCAGTCCACCTTTGGTGTAACGACATGAAACTTGCAACATATGTTAATTGAAATATTGTCTTCAAAATGGCTATAAGCATTTGGTAGCAGGTCCCATCGGTCAACCACCCCAGCCTTCAGAACTCGCACCTACTTCCAATTACCGTTCAGGCGCACGTGCTTATCTCAGCACTCCACCAAACACTGAAAACCCGCTCGGAAAACTCCTTATTGATGTTTTTTACCATGTCTTTTTATTTTCTTGATTGCCTCATCCGTAAAAAGTTATTCCCGGAAACAGAACGTCTTCCGGCGATCCGAACAGATTGAAGCTGGACGGCGCCAGATCAGGGCTATACTCCAGCATTCCTGTACTGAAAGAGCAAAGCCACCCCCGCACTGATGCCTAGTCGGGCATCCTTCTGTTGTTGAGTGAACTCTTTTGGTATCCATCTCAGGCAGACCTTGAAAATATTTAACGTATCTGATGATGCCTGTAGCTGATTCGACAGAACACTTCACTCCGTAAATGAAGTCAGTCAAGCGAATGCTTTGGGTCTCCATCATCACCTCGCTGATTTCACGGATGGTGCCAGATCCAGAGGGTCCTGCAAGCATAGGTCTGCCTGCCGTAGAATTTTGTCTCTTACACTGCCGTATCACTACCCACTTCCCACCACTAAGCATTGTTAATGGTCATGTGGCGTCATCAGGGTACGATTTGCTGCCGACGCCGGTTTCGAGATGAACTCGAGGCTCACCTGACAAAAAGGCACTTCCCAAACGGAGCGGTGCTGCATCAATGTTTTCATACCGACCGTGTTCGAACAATTTTTCAAACTCCTAAAAACAGTTGGATACGTTGTGTAGCAAATTGTTCATAGATTCAGATGACATATTTTATTTTGTTTAACTTGTTAAGGTTAATGAGCTATAGCACATTTTACCTTACTTATTGAACGACCTAGTACAACCTTCGCTAATTCTGACCACGGATTGTTGTACTCAGTCCCTATCGCTTTCCGAACGCTTCATGCCCACTGTGTATAACGTAAGATGAAGTATTGTTCACTGTCCCCAAACTAAGTTGTCCTATATCTCTTAAACGTGAGATGAAGTATTGGATAATGCTTACTATCCCCATACTTCTTATATCCGTTGATGCAAAGTTTACACCCCTTACCTAACACGTAGCACGCTACTTGCAGTAAATGCAGTCAAGTTCTGCCCTCTCTCGTTTCTGACTATTCATCTCTCTTTGTTTCGATAGATGCAGTACAAGACAGCACTCCAAGAGCTGGAGAAAAGGATGGAGTCAGATCAGCAGGCAGCCAAGGAGAAAATAATCGCCGTTGAAGGTCAGTCCAAGGTCACCCGAGGTCACCTGAGGTTACTAGAACTCATTAGACGCAACGGAACCCTATAGGTCACGCGAAGTTACCCCGAGGTCACAAGGATTTATGAGAGTTCAATGGCATGAAGAGATATATCCATCAGATTTGACATACCAGTAAGGAAGACTAGCTGAGGTCATCTGAGGTCACCTGACTAGTGTAAGGTTGTTTGTAGGTAATCGATATCATATTCGGGTCAAAGCGAGGCTATTTGTGGTCAACCATTGACCTCTGACTAGTAGTGTACGAAGTTGTGTGTCTCAACCCAGGTCAAGTGTGCAAAGAAAGGCCAGTCTCGGGTCACCTCATCAGGTCGAGGTCACCTGGTGTCGCTGGAGGTCATTTGCTCAGTCCTAGGCCACCCAGCTAGTCCTGATTGGAGGTTGATTTGAGGTCATTTTGAAGCTGCTAGTACGAGATGTCCTTTCGGATTCGGAGCCTGAAGTTGATTTTCGTTTCATCGTATTGATTAGGAGCATTCCATTTTATTAGCGTTTGAATAACATCTGTCCAACCACACCCCATCTTCGAATTAAATCTCGTAAGAAAAACACGTAAAACAGCGCGTGATATACCCGTGCATGCAAGTTAACTTAGTTGCAGTCCTACAATAATCAGCAATGATTAGACCGCCGTCTTTCACGTGGTCACTTCCATACGGAACTTAAACAATACTAATGATGCGAAGCTATATGATTTTGGTACCTTTTCCACGGGTGGTTTCTACTATATTTATACAAAGGAAATAGTTTTTGTGTTTCCTCGTCCACACATGACCATTTGGCATATTTTGTAGTTCGGTAGATCGTCCGCACATCATATCTCCGGCTCGAGGTCACCTGCTTCCGCTCTTTCCCGTTATTTTCGGGTTATTTCCGGGTATTTCCGATCGTATTTCCGATGCATTTCCGGTTGTTTTTCGGTTTTTTGTTGGCTCGTTTTTTTCTGGTGTCTGGTCCATTCGATTGTTTTGGCGTCGAAGTTGATGGCCGGGGGAGGGGGAGGAGGGGGAGGGGGGTAAAGCATTGGGGATAAGAGTGGATTTCTTTTACACCTTGGAATGGAGTGGCATTCTCAAAGCAGAATGTTTGACGGATATTTTAAGCTCCCGGTGGTTTTGCCGTGTCATTTCTGGAATTATACTTTATTCCGCATCGGAAGCAATGCAATTGATTCAATATGTGCTCTGGATATTTGCATCATATTGGCATTGGTCAGCCGGATTATATATATTTTTCTCTTCGTTATATTTCTTTACAGCTCTCCTCTTCAGTCTCAAGCTACATTCATTCGAGAAATCGCTGGTTGCTGTGTTATATCAGCTTATAAAAAAAAAAACATGAACATCATAGTCCATAAGTGCGCATTCTTAACGATACTACTTACGTGTGATTCGAAAAAAATGTATGAAAAAAAAATACTTGAGGGGCTTACAGTTCTCACGTACTTACTTTTTTTTCATCATAGGTAGACATTTCAGAACATTTTTATTATATTATTCCCAGTAGTAATCTCGTTTCTACCACACCCAGATTTACACACCCAGACACACAGACACCCACACACACAAGCTTCTCGATATTGTTCTGACGGGGGCACCTGACCTCATCAGGACAATCAGAGGACATCTGTCCTATTTACACGGGCACCTCACGTGAGCGAGAGACATGCATATGCAAGTTCCCACCCCGCCTAGTATTCGCAACGTATTTAATACCCCCACTCGCCATAAATTGTCGTTGTCTCTTGGGACCTCTAAACTCCCACTGAATGTGTCTCACTCTCCACATCACTAACTCACTCACTCACTCTCTCAATCACTCTCTCTCTCATCAAGATGCGGGCTTTCGTTCTTCTCTCTCTTCTGGCTCTGGTTGCTTGTCAGACCACTGAAGGACCCAAGGAATGCGCCTGTGAGATTGTAGCTCCTGAAGTTGAAGATTACGTCGTCCTCTACAGCTTCTCGAGCATCTGGGAGGATTCCTGCGATAACATTGGCGAAGAGCTTTGCAGGAAGCAGTGTCGTGACGACTCCAACGCCCTGGAAGAGAATGGCGGCTGGATGGCGCCGGCTTCAGAGGGAGACAGCATGACGATCGGTGACGTCGCCTGCGAGAATCTCGGACGTGATGAAACTCTGGGCATCGAGTCTCAGCTGTACAGCTCGGTCTGTGACCTGCCGTACCACGAGGAGGGACACGGCATCAGGGACCTGCTCTGCTGCGAGGACGGACTGCAGGTGGAGTGTCTGGGACCCATCACCACCCTGCCGCCCATGCTGTAGGACCTGCCCAAGGACGTGCTGAAGAGGAGGATGGAGAAGAGGTTGAAGACGATGTAGGACGATTTGATGTAAGATAGCCGGTTCACAAATGAAAAGTTAAATACGATGCTGAAGGTAATGTTGGCACTGATGTTGAAGGATTTGATATAGTTCGTACCTTAGAAATATATGAAATAATATGAAGTAGACACTGAAGAAGGCATCGGAGGCAATGATGAAGGTTTGATGTAAAACACATCACATACGGCTGAAATATCACATGCCAAAGAGTCAGTTTAGGGAACTTGCAATAAAGCATGACGTCGAACATGGGGAAGACAATGTTGATGAAGATGTCGAAGGGCTTTAAGAACCAGATGCTGAAGGGTGTGTGGTTTTATAGACAATGGTCCTTTGTGTCTTAGGAGGCAAGGTAACTTATGTTTTGGAAAGGTTCGAATTATTTGTGGTTATGCTTGTTTGAAATGTTTCTCCTCCAATCTGCGTGGCAGAGTTGTTTGTAATTACATCACTTCTGTGAAATGAATACAATAAATGAAAGAAAACTGAAGATATGTTCTGAATTACCTCATTTATTCGAAACAAATATGTATGAGGGACAACTTTAGGCGATCTCGTTTTATGAATAAAGGTGAAAATATTGCCTTTCGTTTCTGACCGGCCTAGGTGATATATTTTATAAAGACATAGACACTTAACCCTCACTCGTATTGGTGTTTTCCCAGTTGCCAACGTATGGTGGTGGTGGGGGGGGGGGGGGAGGGGGGTCTGTTGGACGTTCCTGCCGTTCGGTCCATGATGGAGGTAGAGCTTCGCGGAAAAAAACGAGCGTGTTGCCCGTGACGAGAGGAGGCCAATGCTACCCAGTTTTAAGGTCTTAGGTCATTGGTTGACCTTCCAGGTCAGGTCAACGACCTAAAAGTCTGGTAAATCGGACGTCCTAGAACTTCGTCAAGTGTGGCTGCTTTTTTTTTTGTTCGGGTGCTGATCACGAATTTCATGTTAGTTTTGAGCACTGATGATGTCTTCAATCTTCATGCATCTAGGTCACGTGGAGTCAGGTCAGGTCAGGTCAAGCACTAGGCGTATTGACGGCTATCCATAGTAGGCGTCAGCCACCACTGACAGCGTTCTAACATGTTACGAAAGCACCGCAACTACTTTGTTAATGTTCAAATAGGTGCTTAATTCGGAATCAGCTCCAAACAACTACCTTAGAAACATGTAAAGCTCGAAAAAGTGAACCAAAGTCATCTTAGGTCAATGACCTTGGCGACCTGACCTTCTCGTGACCTTGTCACCCACCATAATGCATGGCGCCAACAGCATTTCACATGTTTGAACGTGTACAAAATATAGTACAACCACAAAAAAGTATGGAAACGCACGGATATGTATTATAATGTGCGATAACTGTATGACATACGCCGAATCTCGATTCGGGCCCGATTTGGTCTCCAGAAAGAGGTCATAGGTCATTTGGGTCAGGGTCATGCAATTTTCAAGGTGGGTGTAAAATTGATCGGGAGGGGTCCGTCCGACCCCCTTAAAAGTGCGAGGGCTAACAACCATAATGTATGACAATTTACGGTGTACAATCATCGCTTATACAGTTTACATACATTCTACGCACCTGCGCTAATTCGCGTAACAGTGATTGCAGTCAGTCTAGGGATTATTGAGAAGAGTAAAATAATGAAGTAATTTTAATACTCAAGACTTTATCCTCAGTTTTGTTGCAATGCCCATTCAACAAACGCTGACAATGTGAAGACAACGTAAAGGCATCTTGCCTCGCACTATACTGTACTCTGTTTGTTAATTCGAATAATGCGAGAAATTGAGGTTAGGTAGCGCCCTGGAAAAGGTGGAAACCAATAAATCCATTCAACTTCAGCTGTTGAGTGCTGATTATTTCAAATTGTTTAGTTTTTTTGGGACGCCATTTAATTGCGTCCCAGAAAAGCTATTTCTGGCACCTAAAAGCTGACTCGCCCCAAAATTGGTCCTCAGCACCTATTTGGTGGATACCAGCACCAATCATGGAAAATGACCTTAATTAGCTGTTTCTGGCACCTATTCATCGGTACGCCTTACTCTTTTTTCTGAATATGGCACCTAAATGCTGAGCGTAGCACCAATCTAGTAGAAAAATGAACTACTGGCTGGTAGAATCATGTTGTTCTGGTATAATGACCCTTGGAGTCTAGTCTAAAGGTTGCCAGTGCAGCTACACTCTAAGACAGCCCCGTAGTGATCTCAGCATTGTATATGACGTTTAAGTAAGCAAATAATATTGATTTGTTTGAAAAAAACAATGTCATTTAAATATCTAAAAGCATTTATTTGTAATGCTTAAAGGGAAACATTTTTGTGAGTAATTGTCTCGATTTTGACCATTAAAACGGGTATTGTATTTTTTGACGTCATCAAATAGCTCCAAAAAAGAAATGTAATGTTTTCATTCCGTTCAAGGCCGCTGAAGAAACGCGGGATCTTGCGTGGGACATTGTCCGTTGTTTGCCGCGCAGAGTTGTGCCGTGGTTGTGCCTTTTTCATCCGTTTCTTACTTATGTCATTTGTGTGCATGAAGCTTTGATTTTGTTTTTGGTTATTGTGTGGCCGGTCAGTCAAACGCCCCTGTAGAAAGCGGATGCTGCGTTTGATCGAGATGGAGTCAGACGATGATTGCAGAAAGCTAATAATATTGAAAAGAGGGCCGGTTGCGTGGCATGTCTGTTCAGAGTTTACATTTTGCTTTACTCCAGTTTATGACCTGAGAGCCTGGCTGGAAGTGACGGATCCAAACTTTTCACGTTAAAATGGCTGAGGGTGCAATAATCTCTAGTCTCTACATAGCGGGCTGGTATAGGAGCGTCTTGCTATGCTGCACCATAGCTGGCTAGTGATTCTCTTTTGGCTAGAAATGGCATTAATCATTATCTCCACTGGCGAAAATGGCACTTGACATCACCGAATGCAACGTTCATGTTTGTTAGGATCAGGGGCGGATCCAGGAAAACTCCAAGGGGAGGGTCATGAATCGAAGTGGTGCCCCTACCTATACTCAAAATTAAAAACTCAACGGATTTCGTCCACTTCATTTTGGTGGTGCCCCCATTTTCAGTTTTTTTTCTTTTTATTTTTTATTTTTAGTCAGTATCTTAACTCTTAGCCACAACCACATTTACCAATTGTAAGCAAGTATATATGAATGTGCTATGTGTATAACTATATATGTTGTGGACGCTGAGTAGTGAGTACTTACCAGGAACGTTATCAGGTAAGCAAATCGTTGTCAGTCCGACGAACTTGACCCTGGCGTCTAAAGCGTCTGTCCTCGACACTTCAGGCTTGTCAGGGGCACCAAAGTCCTTCCAGGGACACCACAAACCTGTCAGGGGCACCTACGGCCTTGTAGGGGCGCCACAGGCCCGCCAGGGGCACCACAGGCCTGCCAGGAAGCAGGGGCACCACAGGTCTAGCAAGTATACACGACAGGCCTGTCAGGGGCACAACGGGCCTGTTGGGCCCATGAGCACCCCTAGGGGCAGGGGCACCACAGTCCTTCCAGGGGCACCGCAGGCCTGTGAGGGGCACCAGCGGCCTAGCAGGGGCACCAGTCAACACAGGCCTGCCAGGGGCACCACAGACCTGCCAGGGGCACCAGAGGCCTGCCAGGAGCACCACCGACCTCGCAGGGGTAACTTGGGCCTGTCAGGGCCCAGGGGCACCACGGGCCTGTCGAGAGGCACTTCAGGCTTTTCAGGGGCACCATAGTCCTCTCCGGACGCAGGGGTAGCAGGGGCACCAGAGGCCTGCCAGGGGCACTACAGGCCTAGCAAGGGCACCACTGGTCTATCAGGGGCACCACGAGCCTGTCACAGCCAGGCATCTCAGGCTTGTCAGGGCCCAGGGGCACCACAGGTCTGTGAGGGGCACAAGCGACCTAGCAGGGGCACCAGTCAACACAGGTCTGCCAGGGGCGCCACAGACCTGCCAGGGGCACCAGAGGTCTGCCAGGGGCACCACCGGCCTCGCAGGGGCACCTTGGGCCTGTCAGGGGCACCACGGGCCTGCCGAGGGGCACTTCAGACTTTTCAGGGGCAACAGTCCTCTCCGGGCGCAGGGGTACCAGCGGCCTAGCACGGGCACCAGAGGCCTGCCAGGGGCACCAGCGGCCTAGCAAGGGCACCAGAGGCCTGTCAGGGGCACCACAGGCCTAACAAGGGCACCACGGGCCTGTCAGGGGCACCTCAGGCTTGTCAGACTCAGGGCCCAGGGACACCACAGTCCTTCCAAGGGCACCGCAAGCCTGTCAGGGGCACCAGAGGCCTGCCAGGGGCACCACAGGCCTAGCAAGGGCACCACTGGCCTGTCAGGGGCACCTCAGGCTTGTCAGGGCCCAGGGGCACCACAGTCCTTCCAGGGGCATTACAAGCCTGTCAGGGGCACCAGAGGCCTAGCAAGGGCACCACAGGCCTGCCATGGACACCACAGGCCTGTCAGGGGCACCACCGGCCTTGCAGGGGCGCCTCAGGCCTGTCAGGGGCACCACGTGCCTGCCGGGGACACTTCAGGCTTGTCAGGGGCGTTACAGTCCTGTCAGGGCCCAGGGGCACCAGGCCCGTGGTGTCCCTGCTAGGCCTGTGGTGCCCCTGGCGGTCCTGTGGTGCCCCTGTCAGGACTGTGATACCCCTGATAGGCCGGTGGTGCCCCTGGCGGGTCTTTGGGCCCCCGGGCCTCAAGGGGGGGCCATGACCCATGTGACCCCCCCTTGGATCCGCCCCTGGTTAGGATACATAAAATCAGGAAGATTACGCGAATTAGGTAGGCAAACGTGGAATAAAATAGGTGCTGGAAGTTTTGGTTTTGGTGCTGAATCAGCAAACAGCAAATACGGAGTTCAACTAGACGATCTGGCAACTTTAGGCTGTGTGGAAGCAATTAGGTGCCAGATTCAGATATTAGGGTCGAATAAGCATTTTGGGGCTGATCAG